TCTATTTCCTCTTATCTATCCACCCATCCACCAGTCTCCCTAAGGCATCTGTTAAATATCCATTCTTTTTTCTTCCATTCATCCATCAGACTTACCAATTGTTAAGATCAGTGAGACAGAGCACCTAACTCAGGGAATGTATGGTTTATAGCATGAAGGACCATATGGAAATGTAGCAATCCACAGAGCAGCGATGAGCATGTCACCTTTGGAGGTGGCTTCCGGGCCCAAAGGAACATTGTGAGGCATCTGGCCTGCAGCCTGTTGGGCAGGCTGGCGGTGCCCTGCCTCTCCTTCACAGAGCACTCCTGCCGCCGAGCTCTAGGGCCTGCGAAGTGCTGAGCACACGTGGGGGGTGCGGGGGGGGGGGGCGGTGTTGAAGGTGTCCTACCTTTGTCTTGATTTCACAGAGCAGCTGCCCCTGCTCATCAGTTGTGGGGCTGAACTGACCACTTGGGGCAGAGTTAGCCACCCCTGAGGACTCCATGCGCATAGAGTGGGCAGGGCCTTTGCCCAGCCTTTCCTCCACTGCACGCACAGTGACCTGAGGAAACTGAGGCCCAGGACATTACCTAAGGAAGCCAGGGCTTGGGCCCCAGCCTCGTGGCTCCCTGTGGGCTGCCCTAGAAGTCTCCTCACCTGGAAGGGCATCCTCGTACCCAAACCACCGTGTTGGTGCGCGGGAGCCCTGCTGCCACCCAGCATGGGAGATGGCCAAGCCAACAACCCGCTTGATGAGTGTCACCAGCTCCTGGGCCCGGAGTCCAATCAAAAGCAGAAAAAGCCTAGGCACGAGATGTCTTTTAATTTCTTTTTTGTTTGTTTTTCTTAACCAGCATCTCACCTTCTCATTATACCCTGTGCCCCCTCACAGCCCACCCCACACCCCAGTTCCTGTATGCTGCCTTGAAGGGTGGCTGTGGCTGCACTTCCAGCTTGAGTACAGGCCCCTGCCCAGCCCCTGAAGCTGGCAGGGTCACAGCCGGTCTGTGAGCCATGGCCTGCCAGCCAGGGGCTGCCTCTGCGTGCCCTGGGCCTGCCCTGGCCCTGCCCTCTACCAAGCCTCAGTCTGTTCTCGTTCCTTTCCAGGGAATCTGACTAAGCACATGAAGTCGAAGGCCCACAGC